CCTGCTTGTGGCACTCCGCTCGTCACTTCTTTCCAGGATGAAGAGGAAGAACTTCCTGACTGTGAGAGCCGTTCAGCAGTGGAACTTTCTGCCCTGGAGTGTGATGGAGGCTCCTTCTTTGGAAGCTTTTAAACAGAGGCTGGATGGCCATCTGTCGGGGGTGATTTCAATGCAATATTCCTGGTTCTTGGCAGGGAGTTGGACCGGATGGCCCATGAGGTCTCTTCCAACTCTTTGATTCTATGATTCTATACCCTGCATTATGGGCTGGAAATTGCTGCAAATGTCAAAGAATTACTTCTGGCTTGATTCAGGACTTCAGCCAGCGTAGAAAGCCCTAGGACATTCTAAGAACAGCTGAAAAATGGGACTAATCTGAGTCTTCTTGCCAAACTGGAACAGTTGGAGGATATGAAAGTCTACATACAAGTTGCAGTTTAAGTAATTAGTTTAGTTGGATTGCTCCCCAGTAGCAATGGATAGAAGGCAGGCAAAACAGTCTGCACCTCAAACGTTCTGTCTGTGTGATGTGCTAAAGTAGTTTGTAAAAGTCGTGGTGAGAACCAGTCTAGTGCCATGAGAGGAAACGCTCACCAGTTTAGCATCCTTACCGACAAAACCATATAATTGGGAGGAGACATTTATGGAAAGAGGTGTAAGCCTATTCTTAAAGGAAGCTCCAGCCCTCTTTAAATAAAAAAGGTGGTTAAAATGGATTCCCAGACACCTACATAGGTATTATATGGCAGAGAAAAGATGGTGTGATAATAGTGAAGGAGGAGGTGACACATCTTGTTACACCTTCCATTATAAACAGCATCAAATGCATGACACACACACTGCCACCCAGCTGTCACACAACCACATTCCACAAAAGTGTTGCTTTGAGAAATTATGTGTGGGTTGTATGCAACAAACAGAAAAAAAGTGCCAGTTGAGTAAGGATTAAGATAGATTATGCTGAAAAAGCCTTTCAACAAAGTGAAGAGATTGGCATCTCTATTTGTCTATAGATTGAGGGAAGTCATGATGCCTCTCTATTCTGTTTTGGTCAGACCTTACCTGGTATAACACTGTGTCCAATTCAGGGCACCATAGTTCAATTGGCAAGCTGGAAGGTGTCTAAAAGCCAATAGGATTTTGGCCTGCATTAATAGGGGCATAGTGTCTAGATCTAGGGAAGTCATGCTACCCCTCTATTCTGCTTTGGTTAGACCACACCTGGAATATTGTGTCCAATTCTGGGCACCACAATTCAAGAGAGATATTGACAAGCTGGAATGTGTCCAGAGGAGGGCGACTAAAATGATCAAGGGTCTGGAGAACAAGCCCTATGAGGAGCGGCTTAAGGAGCTGGGCATGTTTAGCCTGAAGAAGAGAAGGCTGAGAGGAGATATGATAGCCATGTATAAATATGTGAGAGGAAGCCGCAGGGAGGAGGGAGCAAGCTTGTTTTCTGCTTCCTTGGAGACTAGGACGCGGAACAATGGCTTCAAACTACAAGAGAGGAGATTCCATCTGAACACGAGGAAGAACTTCCTGATTGTGAGAGACGTTCAGCAGTGGAACTCTCTGCCCTGGAGTGTAGTGGAGGCTCCTTCTTTTGAAGCTTTTAAACAGAGGCTGGATGGCCATCTGTCAGGGGTGATTTGAATGCAATTCCTGCTTCTTGGCAGAATGGGGTTGGACTGGATGGCCCATGAGGTCTCTTCCAATTCTTTGATTCTATGATTCTAAAAGTGACTAAAATGATCAAAGGTCTGGAGACCAAGCTCTATGAGGAGTGGCTGGGGATGTTTAGACTGCAGAAGAGAAGGTTGAGAGGAGACATGATAGCTACGTATAAATATTTGAAAGGATGCCATAAGGAAGAGGGAGCAGAATTGTTTCTGCTGCCCTGAAAACTAGGACTCGGAACAATTACAAAAAAGGATCTTCCAGTTGAACATTAGGAAGAACTTCGTGACACTGTTCAGCAGTGGAACTCTCTGCCTCAGTGTGTCGTGGAAACTCCTTTTTGGAGGCTTTTAAACAAAAACAAAATGCAAGTTGTAAACCGTTATCAACACACAGCTATGTTAACATTAACTGTGTAAATTGGTTTAAACTGCACATAAATATAATGGAGAAAATGCATTTTCATCATTATATTTATGTGCAGTTTAAACCAATTTACACAGTTAATGTTAACATAGCTCTGTGTTGATAACAGTTTACAACTTGCATTTTGTTATCGGTCATAGAAATCTGGGCTTTTAAACCAAGGCTAGATTGCCGTCTGTCAGGGGTACTTTGTGCTTTTCCTGCATGGCATGGGGTTGGACTAGATGGCCCACGTGGTCCCTTCCAACTCTATGATTCTATGAAAGGTGCTGAACTGTGGATTAGACACCAAATTTTGCACAAAGATTTGTAACTATATATTCAGTGCTTTCTGTAAGAGTAGACATAAAACAATATCTTTACCAGTTAGTTAAACAGAAATTAATAATAATAATAATAATAATAATAATAATAATACTTTATTTGTACCCCGCTACCATCTCCCCAAGGGACTCGGTGCGGCTTACATGAGGTTGAGTGTGATGGCGTGAGTGGCGTCACCTATGTGTAGAACTGTTAGTTGCAAGATTTAAACTTAATCCTGCCTTTTTACCCTGCTTATGTATAGTTGTATGGATTGGTTACTTATAGCTGTCAATCAGTACTGTTTGGCTCCACCTCTTCCTGCAGGAGGAGAGTGCTTCCTTTCTTTTCATTCTGTCATCAGAGTTCCTACCATATGGACGTGAGTAAGAGACTTGACTCTAAAAGACCCTGATTTAAATTACCTCTTAGTACCAGTTCTGAGGGTTTTTACCCTTGAGACTTGTGCTTCATGTTCAGACCAACCCGAACGACGTTGGAAGTCTCAAGCGCCTTCAAACCGGTTCTTTTGGCACCAAAGGAAGATCCTGAGTCTTCAAACATAGGCCATCTGAACTGGGGTTGTGGTTTGCTCCGGCATTCACAGCCATTGAGGAAAGAGGAAACTTGGAAAGGCTTCTCAGCTTCCAACACCTTGGACCCAGGACTAACTGAGACTGCAACGTATATTTTCCTTCACCCCTCTGAAGTTTCCAGCTCATTGCTTTAAGGAAATAATTCTTTGTGATCGATAAAACTAATTTTGAGTTATTTACAGCGTTTTGGGTTTTTGAGAATTCTAGTTTCCTATAGGAGGGCAAGAAGTAATCCCCTGGGGAGATATGCCACATCCATGCCCCCTTCATTAAGAATAATAGCCCCCAGGCGCGACAGCACACCGAGCCCAAACACAACAATACAAGCAATAACAACAACAAAACAAGCAATTAAAATAAAAACATGGACAATAAAATAATGCAACATTAACAATAAGACCACACGATTAAAACTGTGGGAAGGCCAAATGTAAAATTAAAATTGAAAATAATGCTGGAACATGGGCGGAAAGGTGATGGGGCGTTTGTGGAAAACATACAAGCAGACCTAAAAAATGTAAAGTGCTTTGGAGGACAAAGTGCTATGGAATCATTATTCTGGGAAGGCACACTGGAACAACCATGTTTTCAAGCTCCTCCTAAAGACTACCAGAGTTGGGGCCTGCCTGATGTACTTAGGAAGTGAATTCCAGAGTCGAGGGGCCACCTCCGAAAAGGCCCTCTCTCTCGTCCCCACCAATCGCGACTGCGATGCAGGTGGAATCGCAAGCAGGGCACTACTTAATTAATTAGCACTACTTAAGGGGCGGGGATGGCCCTTGGTGTGGTGTGGCAAGTTCTTGGTGGGATGGGCATACCAAGCCACCTTGTCTCTCTCCTGAGGAATCTGTACAAGGACCAAGTAGCAACAGTCAGAACTGACCACGGAACAACAGACTGGTTCAAGATTGGGAAAGGCGTACGGCAAGGCTGCATACTCTCACCCAACCTTTTTAACTTGTATGCAGAGCACATCATGCGATGTGCGGGGCTTGATGAATGCAAATCTGGGGTGAAAATTGCTGGAAGAAACATTAACAACCTCAGATATGCAGATGACACCACTCTGATGGCCGAAAGCCAGGAGGAGCCGAGGAGCCTTCTAATCAAGGTGAAAGAAGAAAGCGGAAAAGCTGGCTTGCAGCTAAACATAAAAAAAAAAACCATGATTATGGCAACAAGAATGATTGACAATTGGGAAATAGAGGGAGAAAACGTAGAGACCGTGACAGACTTTGTATTTCTAGGTGCAAAGATTACTGTAGACGCAGACTGCAGCCAGGAAATCAGGAGACGCTTACTTCTTGGGAGGAGAGCAATGTCCAGTCTCGATAAAATAGTAAAGAGTAGAGACATCACACTGGCAACAAAGATCCGCATAGTCAAAGCCATGGTATTCCCTGTAGTAACCTACGGATGTGAGAGCTGGACCTTAGGGAAGGCTGAGCGAAGGAAGATAGATGCTTTCGAACTGTGGTGTTGGAGGAAAGTGCTGAGAGTGCCTTGGACTGAGAAAAGATCCAACCAGTCCATCCTCCAGGAAATAAAGCCCGACTGCTCATTGGAGGGAAGGATACTAGAGACAAAGTTGAAGTACTTTGGCCACATCATGAGGAGACAGCAAAGCCTAAAGAAGACAATGATGCTGGGGAAAATGGAAGGCAAAAGGAAGAGGGGCCGACCAAGGGCAAGATGGATGGATGGCATCCTTGAAGTGACTGGACTGACCTTGAAGGAGCTGGGGGTGGTGACGGCCGACAGGGAGCTCTGGCGTGGGCTGGTCCATGAGGTCACGAAGAGTTGGAGACGACTGAACGAATGAACAACAACAAGGGGCGGGGATGATTTTTTTTTTTTTAGGGATCCTTAATTTGAACTAACCCAACACTACACCTCCACTTGAGTGGTTCCTGTCCTATCCTGTCCTATCCTTTCCAAAACAACAAAATGGCTTTGCTGGATCCACCCCAAAGTTGTTGTGATGCAGGGTTGTCCTACCTTTGATTGCTTCTCTTTCAGATCTAGGTGTGCTGTCTTGGTTCTTCCGGTGGGACATGGAGCGTAAATACTTCCTTAGGCTCAATTTACTGCTTCCTTCATGTTCCTTGGGCATCTTGGCAGGGGTGGAGAAAGCCCTCTGGAAGACAGACCTCTTAGGAACAGCTGTATTCTCTCGGGGAGATGCCTGGGGTGGCTTTTCGTTACTGGACAGAGAAAGTTCAGTTTCTGGATGGCTTTGTGTCCGCTTCCATTTTTGTAGCTTGCCCTTGTGCCGACTGCCGGCCGACCCATGGTGATTAGGAGGATCCAGTCTGGGAATCTTCTCCCCATTCTGTAGAACGGTCTCCCACCGGTAGGACCTCAGCAAAGATGGGTCCTCTGCTCCAGCCTGGGGCTTCCGAGGTGCCTCCATCTGCCAAGCAAAAGAGGAAGGAGGGGGCATTTCAGAAAAAAAAACAATTTGAGGAACAACACCCAGAATCTTGTGTTCAGTTTGTATGTTTCTCAGGACACCACAGTTGAGCTAGAAGGACAATTTGATCAGCTTTTGGGGAAATAACGTTCTGTAGACAATAGCTCCCAGAAATCACAAGCCAGCACAGCCACTGATCAACAGAATCCTGCGGGCTAGTAAGAATGGGAAATTAAAGAAGTTAGCATTTGCAAGTGTATCAATTAAGAGAATCTATCTCCAAAAACAAAATAAGGAAACAAGGTGTCATCTGCCTCCCAGGCAATGAAAAGAAGCTGCCTGCCTTCCCTACCCCAAGGACTCAGGTCAGCGGTCTCACAACGAAATGCCGGTGTCTTTGGGCAACAGGTGCAGTAGCATGTCCCTGAGACATGCTGCCGTGTGCCAGTCACATCTCTCTCTGGCTGAGAAAGAAAACGCGCCGCCGAGCTTCCTGTGCCTTGATTTAAAAGCACAAACAGAACATACATCGGCAACCCCAATTGTATCCTATGCTGCTGTCTGCATACCCAATAACTTCCTGTGATGAAATAATTTGCCCCGCGCCGCTGCTGCTGTTCCATGCAAACCAGCCAAAATGTGAAGCCCTCCTGACTCTTCTAAAACCATCAAGTGCGCTTCTTCGAAACCTCAGATACTGTGGCCCGGCTCCAAAAAACTGTGGGCGAGGCGCTGTGGAGTTTGCATCTTGAACAACCCGCTCCGCTCTGACACTCACAGAACCTGTCTTACTGCATCTGTTTGTGCCTGGGGAAGCATTGCAAAGTGCCACCTTCTGAGCAGGGATGGTCCAAGTGTTGATCTGCATGATGGGCAGGTAGCAACATTTCCTCCCCTCTTTTCCTCACCAATTGAGAGCATTTTTGTCCAGCCTGGCTGCAGGGAAGCCCAGCATTAGCTAGGGCTGGAATTTGGGATCTACTGGAGTGGGAGTTCATTCAGGCATGTTTATGCAGGTCAAAGACTCATCTATAAAAATAAAAATGTAATGTTCGTTTGTAGGATTAACAAAACTCAAAAACCACTGGACGAATTGACACCAAATTTGGACACAAGACACCTAGCAACCCAATGTATGTCCTTCACTCAAATAATTTGATTTTGTCATTTGGGAGTTGTAGTTGCTGGGATTTATAGTTCACCTACAATCAAAGAAGATTCTGAACCCCACCAATGATGGAATTGAACCAAACTAGGCATCAGTTCTCCCATGACCAACAGAAAATACTGGAAGGGTTTGGTGGGCAGTGTCCTTGAGTTTGGGAGTTGTAGTTCACCTACATCCAGAGAGCACTGTGGACTCAAACAATGATGGATCTGGACCAAACTCTACAAGAATACTCAATATGCCCAAATGTGAACACTGGTGGAGTTTGAGGAAAATAGAATCTTGACATTTGGGAGTTGTAGATGCTGGGATTTATAGTTCACCTACAATCACAGAGCCCCCGGTGGCGCAGTGGGTTAAATCCCTGTGCTGGCAGGACTGAAGACCGACAGGTCGCAGGTTCGAATCTGGGGAGAGGTGGATGAGCTCCCTCTATCAGCTCCAGCTCCTCATGCGGGGACATGAGAGAAGCCTCCCACAAGGATGATAAAAACATCAAATCATCAAGGCGTCCCCTGGGCAACGTCCTTGCAGACCAATTCTCTCACACCAGAAGCGACTTGCAGTTTCTCTAGTTGCTCCTGACATGACAAAAATAAATAAATCACCGAGCATTCTGAACACTACCGACGATAGAATTGGGCCAAACCTCCCACACAGAATGTGGTCCACAGCAACGTGTGGTGGGGACAGCTAGTAGAATCATAGAGTTGGAAGAGACCTCATGAGCCATCCAGTGCAACCCCTGCCAAGAAATAGGAAAATTGCATTCAAAGCACCACCCCTCCCTCCACCCCCGAAATTCTCATGGTGGTCCACGAGAAGGCCTTACTGGTGCATTATTTAAACGGTTATGTTTATTCATATCATGATCTGATCACCATACTCAACATATCCCATATGCATGGGGGTATTGGGGTAACGATAAAAAAGGTTTGTTAGGGTAGACCCTCTTTCTCTCAGACTGAGCTCCCCACCCCACCCCCCACCCCCAATCAAAATCCTGGCTACGGGTCTGCCCCGACAGATGGCCATCCAGCCTCTGTTTAAAAGCTTTCAAAGAAGGAGCCTCCACACTTCGGGGCAGAGAGTTCCACTGCTGAACAGCTCTCACAGTCAGGAAGTTCTTCCTCATGTTCAGATGGAATCTCCTTTCTTGTAGTTTGAAGCCATTGTTCTGTGTCCTAGTCTCCGGGGAAGCAGAAAACAAGCTTGCTCCCTCCTCCCTGTGACTTCCTCTCACATATTTTATACATGGCTAGCATGTCTCCTCCCAACCTTCTCTTCTTCAGGCTAAACATGCCCAGCTCTTTAAGCCACTCCTCATAGGGCTTTTTCTCCAGACCCCTGATCATTTTAGTCGCCGTCCTCTGGACACATTCCAGCTTGTCAATATCTCTCCTCAGTTGTGGTGCCCAGGTTTTAAAAAAAGTTTCAGAGTACATCCAGTGTAAAATGAATGGTGTTCAGCACCCCTTTAATTGTCATGGCTCAATGGTATGGAATCATGGGACATGTAGTTTTACAATGTCTTTAACCTCCTCTCTGAGTGCTGGTGTCTTTCCAAACTACAAATTATATGTAGTTTGGATTCCATTGCATTGAGCCATTGAAGTTAAATTGTGTCAAACTGTAGGTGCACCCTTAGTTTTAATGGGCTGAACCCATGTTGGATGGTAGGAATTTTCTGAATACTGCTTGGCATAAACCTGCACAGAGATATTGCAAAAACAGCAGAATAAGCCATGCAAACAACATGATCCCAAACTCAAATCACAAATGGCTCATTTCCATCCATGACCCCTTAATTTTTTTTAAAGAAGGAGTTGGGTCAGCCCGTCTCCGCAGAAATTGTGCCTTCTGCAAGTCCTAGAAGTCTTCTGTAAAGGCTACTTTAGCAAGAGGTGAGAAGGGGTCTCCCCAAAGCTACCTTCTGGGATACCCGAGCAGAGCCGAATGAGGAGCCTGTTTTAGATAAGGAGTGATGAGATACTAGATTGCTGTGAGTTTTTCAGACTGTATGGCCATGCTCCGGTAGCATTCTCTCCTGACTTTTCACCTGCATCTATGGCAGGCATCCTCAAAGATTTGTTCAGAGGTCTGTAGGAATAAGGCAAGTGGTGTGTGTGTTTCTGTGTATATATATCCATATCCATATCTATCGATCTATCGATCTATCTATGGAATGTCCAGAGTGGGAGAAATTCTCCAGATAGATATACAGTACACCTCACTTGGTTCATTTTATTTTGCCTTATTGTAATTCTTGGGCTTCAGCTTATGTTAGCTGCCCCGAGTTGTTGTTGTTGTTGTTGTTGTTGTTATTATTATTATTATTTTACTGACACAAAAACACAGTATGTTACAGCAAACGAGATATATATGCTGGATTTTGTATTACAAAATCACAAGTTGAACACTTCCCAAACGTCTAGGACTGTGTGATGTATTTTTGAATCCAAGTAAGGGGGCCTTTTGCAGCTGACAGATCATGATTTTGTCAACGTTTATTGTTTCCAAATGCCAGCTGAGATCTTTTGGCACGGAACGTAATAATAATAATAATAATTATTATTATTATTATTATTATTATTATTTAATGCAAAGACTCTGGCACAAGCCAGTCAAGGTGGTCCCAGTCGTGATCAGCACACTGGGTGCAGTGCCTAAAGGCCTTGGCCTGCACTTTAACACAATCGCCACTGACAAAATTACCATCTGCCAGCTGCAGAAGGCCACCTTACTGGGATCTGCATGCATTATTCGCTGATACATCACACAGTCCTAAACACTTGGGAAGTGTCCGACGTGTGATCCACTACAACAGCCAGCAGAATGTTTGCTGTAGACTCATCTTGTTGTGTTTCAAATTATTATTATTATTTTACTGACACAAAAGCACAGTATCTCACAGCAAACGAGATCTATATGCTGGATTTCATATCACAAAATCACAAGTCGAACACTTCCCAAGCGTCTAGGACTGTGTGATGTATTTTCGAATGATGTGCGCAGATCCAAGTAAGGTGGCCTTTTGCAGTTGACAGATCGTGATTTTGTCGATGTTTATTGTTTCCAAATGCCGGCTAAGATCTTTTGGCACGTCAGCCAGTGTGCCAATGACCACTGGGACCACCTGTACTGGTTTATGCCAGAGCCTTTGTAGTTCGATTTTGAAGTTTTGTGCACCAGTTGCGCCCGTACCTCGGGAAGTCTGATCTGGCCACGGTGGTCCACGCTCTTGTTACATCCCGAATAGACTACTGCAATGCGCTCTACGTGGGGTTGCCCTTGAAGACTGTTCGGAAACTTCAACTAGTCCAGCGAGCGGCAGCCAGATTGCTTACCGGAGCGACATACAGGGAGCATACCACCCCCCTGCTGTGCCAGCTCCACTGGCTGCCGATTCAGTTCCGAGCACAATTCAAGGTGCTGGTTTTGACCTACAAAACCCTGTACGATTCCGGTCCAGTGTATCTGTCCGAACATATCTCCCCCTACGTCCCACCTCGGAGTCTGAGATCATCTGGGGAGGCCCTGCTATCGACCCCACCACTGTCACAAGTGAGGCTGGTGGGGACGAGGAGCAGGGCTTTCTCAGTGGTGGCCCCTCACCTGTGGAACTCACTCCCGGGGGAATTCAGGGCATCATCATCCCTCCTCACCTGTAGGAGAAGGGTAAAGACTTGGTTATGGGACCAGGCCTTTGGGCACTCCGGCAATTAAATCAGACAACCAGGCGAGTAAGACCAGCAGGATTGATGAAGTGGAACGTAAAACTAGATCTATGAGTAGCGAATGCTGACCATGTAAGAGGAGAAAGGGGGTTTGTATTTGGTTTTTTATTGATTTTATTGATTTTATGGTTATAATGTATAATTGGTGTTAATTGTGTATTGATGTAATTTTGTGTTTGATTGTTATTATGATGCAGGCATCAAATTGTGCCTTGCTTTTGTAAGCCGCCCTGAGTCCCCTTCGGGGTGAGAAGGGTGGGGTAAAAGAACCCCAAATAAATAAATAATAAATAAGTCTTGATAGTGGCTGAGTTTTTCCTGTTGTTTTTCCTCAATGCGACTGTCACCTGGTATGGCGACATCAATAATAATAATAATTATTATTATTATTTATTAATGCAAAGACTCTGGCACAAGCCAGTAAAGGTGGCCCCAGTGGTGATTGGCACACTGGGTGCAGTGCCTAAAGACCTTGGCCTGCACTTAAACACAATCAGCACCAACAAAATTACCATCTGCCAGCTGCAGAAGGCCACCTTACTGGGATCTGCATGCATTATTCGCCAATACATCACACAGCCCTAAACACTTGAGAAGTGTCCGATGTGTGATCCACTACAACAGCCAGTAGAATGTCTGCTATGGGCTCATCTTGTTGTGTTTCAAATTATTATTATTATTATTATTATTATTATTATTATTATTACTACTACTACTACTATTACTATTACCGCAGACCTCTGAACAAACCCCTGAGGATGCCTGCCATAGATGCAGGTGAAAAATCAGGAGAGAATGCTACTGGATCATGGCCATACAGCCCGAAAAACTC